CAGCAAAATCCTCCACAGTCAGCTCTGAATGACTCACTTATCCTAAGCCGTATCATTCCCCTACATCCCTTATATACCCACATTCCCATGTACAACACCGTGAAGTTCATAACCAGCACAGGAGAACACTAAACAGCACATCAGCCAGCAGCGCTTGGAACCGCACCACACAAACTGCAACATGCAGAGCCGGCTCTCCCCTTTTATTGGGGAACAAAGTGGTGCTTGCTCTCTTCGAATCTCCTTGCTCTTGGTCTTAGAGATGTGTACAGAAAACAGTCTTTCGCTAGGCAGGGTCACAGTGAGAAACTCATACCAAACCGCTCCTGTGTATAGCCATTACATACATCCATTATGCTTGCTTTTTTCTGCTCGCTAGACTGGGTGTTTGCTCAGGTGGCCAGCATCAGCCTTCCCGCTGGAGGTGCCTTCCCAGCATAATTTCTTCTCTAGGGTCTGGAGATCACATGTTTCTCTCATCACAGAGAACTTCTGCTGTGGGATCTGTAATAACTCTGCTTGGAGTTGAGCTGAAATAAAACATGCCTCAAGCGAACAATAGCCAAATAACAAGAGTGATGCTTTTTCTTCTTGTAAAGAGCGTGTACTGCACACAGGGCTAATCTGCATGGCTTCAGTACATTCAGCACCTGTGTTTTTGTTTTCTTTGCAGTGGGAACAGTGGCTTGGCCTGCACTGCTTGTCCCTGCCTGCCTTGCAGAGAATTGCCCAAAGGTTTTATTCATTTTTAATCTGATTTCTTTTCTGTATGTGGGGAGTTGGAGTTAATGAAGGATTTTCCCCTACAACCTCTTTCACTCATAACCAAAAGGAGAACATCTAATGACCAAGCTGTATACTGCCTGGAGACCTTCTTGTTCTTTACATGAGATAGGGGTCAGCTATTAAGGTGGCGCTGCCATCCCCCATTTCCTTCTTTCAGCTTTGAAGATGCAGCTAGATTGGCAAGGCTGCTGCTGGAATCACGAACTTAGAGTTCATCAAGTGCTGCGGTGTTTTCTGAGCCAATACCTTACTGTACAGCTACCAAATTCAAAAGTGGGGCTTAATTACTGCCATTGCTTGGATTCCTCAGACAGCTGGCCTTCCGCAAAACCACTTTTAGTCAGAGAACGCAAAGCTGCTGATGCCTCTCCATAAAATCACACTGAACTCACCAGAATTTCATCTCACGTAACGTGAAAAGTTTCTAACTACGTCAAAGCATCGCGTTGTGACAGTTAAAGAACAAAGAACTTCAGATTTTGGAGTAAAATGACTTTTCAAAGCATTGCATTTTGTACTAAATAATAACTCTTCCTGTGATTCTGCTTGTGGCTCAGGATGGAGCTGTTCACCACTGATCTCATACTACTTTTCAGCTTCACTCTATTATCCAAAATAACAACAACAGTAGTTCCGAACGTTGTTGCAAGACCAAAGATCCAGGCTCCACATAAAAAGAACAAAAGTAAGATTTTGGCAGCAGGGGGATGGGGTAGGTGAAATACAAAAGAATCCAAAACATATACAGGCTAATAAAATCTGTAGACTGTAACTCATGTATGCAGTTTAGACATGCTTGGAAAAAAACCACCCCCACACCCCCCCGGTATAAAACCTAGAGTTCTGGGGATCCTTTGCAAGGACGCACTTTCCCATCAATGCCTAAAATCAGTTATCTTACGGCAGTGTACAAACTGTGTACCTGCAGTAAACATCATGATCAGCGATGATACCAGAGTCTCTCTTCAGAACAGAACAGAAAAATTTCCATTCACCTTACATTTATAGCTGGCAATAATTTCAGGCTGGACAGTTTGCATTTGTTTCTGCTAAAAAGTCACAGAGCATCAGAACATATACAGGAAGCTTTCATGTGGTTATCAGTCCTTGGAAAGCTTCTCTCTCGATTACCATATGTTTTGCATGTCCACTTCGCTGTGTGTCTACCCAGGGCTGAACAGTGACAAGATGTTGGGAAAAACCACCACTGACATTTTAGGGAAATGGAGTGTAACAGCGCTTAGTTGCTTTATGCGCTATCCTGTTTCTCTAAGAAAATTAACATTTTCTTTAAAATGCAAGCCAGATTACAGAAGTGTTTGGGGACACTTTTTCACTTACAGCAGAGACTAGAGTTTCTTCCTGTTAGGACTGGCAAAGGACTCTGACGTGTAACTCGGGAGCTTTCATTTATGATAACGCTCTGGGGTCCTAGGTTTTGAATGTCAGAAGAGAGAGAACACCAGGAGATTAGCTCATAGGCAAGGACGGGTGGGAAGGAATCAAATGAGTTTACTGAGCAGCCAGTAATTCTGTGAATTACTCAGTGAATACCAGTCTTTCATTGCAGATATCACATTTACTTTTTGTCGCAAATGAGGATTATTGCTCAAGTCAGAAATAACGTGAAATTACAATTCCATAGCAGGTCACCACCAACTGCAAAAGATGAGGATTCCTACACCTTTACAGCCTTTCAGTTACCTATCTTTAGAGATACACAGTGCATTGGTGCGATCACTGACCCAAAAACACGTAAAGCCCACTTAGATCCAAATGTCCTTCCATTTTCCTGCAGATGTAGACATAGGATTCTCCTGGACTTCCTGATGTTCTTTCGAATCAAGAGGGTTGAGTAATAAGATGAAAACAAAGGAAGCTGAATTAGTAACTTCTAAAGTTGAAAATTTAGTTCTATTAAGTTCTACTTCATGTTACTTATTTATTTATTTATTATGATTCTGCGCTAATGCTCTCCAAACTGCAGGGACCACTTTTCAACTTAGGTTTTTTTAAAATCGAATTTTTAAAATTCGATTAGATTGAGAAAAAAAAATGACAATTCATTTGTCAAGAGGAATGAAAAATATAATTCATACCCTTTCCACCAACCGTCCCTTCTACCAGCCTTCATAATGAGGATTTCTCCCTCTCCAGTGTTCAAGAGAAGCAAAACCTAATGTTTTCAAAATGGCTCAGGAGTTCCGATTTTTTTTCTTGAAAAAGATATATCCCAAATGCCAAGCTGTACTATGAAGGCAATTTTACTTTAATGCTATAAAACTATTTGTGAGTCAACAGCTAGCCCTTCCCTTGAGCTGCCCCAAGGCCCAGGGGCAGTAAAGCAAAGCCGAGCCAGTGACAGAAGCCTAGTTTCCAGGTGAGATACAAGGAACGATGGAAATCTTTATGTTTGACGCTGCTAAATGAGGGAAACACCTAGAAGCACCAAGGTCAGGAGAAGCCTGCCCTAACAGCGCAAGGTCTTCCCTCTGGAGACAACCCACCGGCCCTCTGCAAAATCAAAGAGTTACCGCAGTCTTGGGCTTTTGTTCCGTCCGTTAATAGCCCTGGGAAGGGGCATCATCTGCCTTCGCCTGTTTGTTCTCCGAGCAGGCTTTCAGCTCGGCATTTCCATCCGCTTTGATGTGTAGGGCTCCAGCGGGTGCCGGGTTTCTCTGCCCGCGGCAGGCAGGGAAGCTCCTCCCGCCGGCACTTGCTCCGTCTACGCTAGGGGGCTCTGCTGACCCGGCTATGGAGGCAGAGGCAGCGGCTGGGCGGAGGAGACGAGGCCCCGAGGCTGGAGCCGCCTTGCCGTGCTCTGGGCGCTTCCTCCGCAGCCTGGCTGCGGTCCAGGGACGAGTAGGCTAACCTCCGGTTTGCCTATCTGCTGCAAAAATTTCAGGGGGCTATGGGATGAAGTGCTCTATGTAAAAGCAAAATGTTACAGTACAGGATTTCATTATCTTTTGGAAATGGCAGAACTTCATAACATGGAAAGTTTTATGTGAAAGAAAACAAGGCTTCTAAGTCTCTCCCAAATTATTGCAGCTTTGAAGTAACAACTTTCACTTTGTAATTGTTGGAACACTCCCTCTCCTTGCAGTAGAGGGATCTTTAATGCGCCAACTGCTAAGACCGAGGCTCTCAGCCTTTTCCAAAGGGCACATGCTTGTGATGAGGCTGGCAGATAAACCCCACCCTATGGTAAGCCTAGCAGCGCTGCTACCATCTCTTTTCTCGTCTGAGTTTCCTCACTTGTCCTTTTCACAAATTCACAGTACCGAGGCCAGAAAAGATTGTTAAAATCATCCAGTCCCTTAAAGAATAAGGGCCAGGGAATTTTATCCAGCCACTTTCTGCCTTTGGTTCCTCTGCCTTCACCTCCACATCCTTTTTCTTTTCTCTGTAATTATTGCTTTTGTTTCCTGCTAGTTCTTCCTGCTGCTTAGCTTTGTGCCGTTTTCCAGTTCTCGAGTAAGCAGACAGCTACGTTGGTGGTTATACCAGCTGGGTCATGTAAGTACGGGCAACTTCCCCAAGTGCCCTGGGAACGGAAGAGTCCCTTGGGCCATTGCGTTGCTGCCTGAACTTCTAGCAAGTTAGTACTAGAACAGCAGCGAGTGCAGGAATGGGTGAAAAGTGGCCGTCATGAAACCACTAATGCCATCAAAATGCTGCAGATTTCTTTACGTTTACCAGTCTATTTGGTACCACTTCTCCCTGCTACCCTGTGAATAGCTAGGTCCATATTACATGGTGTTTGCTGCTCAACAGAGGTCCAGGCCTACCTGAAAAAGAGTCTTCCCAGGAAGAACTGAAAACATCCTGTTGCTGGGACAGTAGTTTCTTTTCTTTACTCCAGGAAAGAATGCAGCACCTGTGTCCCAGCCGCCCTGCTGCCTTAGGAGTAGTGGGAAAAGTTGGGTCCAAACCTTCCGTCTTCCCTTTAGGTGCTTTTGCAATTCACATACCCCATGGACTTCACAAAGGACAAACACGGGGCCCAGATACATGGACTCTACAGCCAGTATGGGGTCTTCCTTCCACTTTACTTCACTCAAGGATCGAAGCACAAACCAACTCTAAACCAGTATAAACCCCCCCCTTCCTACCCCTGAACACAAGGTAAAGATCTTACAACTTTATTTTTCTTCCAGGTGACTTTAAAACAGCTTAACAAATCACTGGGAGAAGAGCCACACAGATGGACCTTAGGTCCCTCTTCTGATGATATGGTCATAGATAACAATATGGAGATAGAGATTTGTTTCAACAGGCGTCCGTGTTGTGTTGTCTCCTGGGTAGGCCTGAAACACAGAATATTACAGATACCGAGTCAGGAGAGAGAAAAAGACATGGCTTTTTATGTCATGAATTTTCTTCTTCTTCCCTTGGAACATAAAGTTTAATAAATGCAACTAGCTCTGAGGGTGGGGATTTCTCATTAATGTCCTGGCACCGGGCAGTTTGTTTCTCCTGCAATGCTTTTAGCAGATGCAAAGACAGCGATAGAGTTCTTTTAGCTAAATACAACTAGGAACAAGCGGACCATCGACTGGTCAAAGAGAAGACCCACTTGCAAAGATCAGGCAGCTGGTACTAAGTCTGTTCAAGCTGAACCCCGTGAGAGAGAACTCAGGCTGATTTCAGTTTGGCCCATAGCAAGCGCTTCTCAAAAGCTTGTTCTCCATCAGTGAGCGTTACAAAAAAGCCAAAGCCAGATGGATCTCATGGGGACTCACAGGCCTGTGCCCTGCAACCTCTGGGGAGACGCAATGTACACACACAAACGCTTCTTAATGTGGTGGCTTTTGGCACATGGAGGATCTTTCACGTTGGCTCTAAAGAGCTGGTTATTTGTTACAGATGTTCTGCAGCTGCACGAAGTTGGATTGGTGGTCCACTTTCAATGCAACCAAACACATTTTTAGGTATGCATTTCTGAATTTCTAACAAACCAATGCACTTATTTTGAAATGCATATAATCTGATATTTTGTACTGTTACTATTCATATGCAACCATCTTTCATGGGAAGCACATCAAAGAAACCACCATCTTAGATCAGTTCTGTAGAAACCCAAACAAATTATTGCCCAGCTTAGTTCATGTTGGTTTTGACAGTAACCAAAGCCTGGGTGTGTTTGTCACATCCAATCTATAGTCCAAGGACTTCAGTTGTAAAGTTGAAAAAAGTGCAGCTGGCACCAGAGGAGCACAGTCGATTTCTTACAGAGGGAAGCTGTCTATAATGTTATTACCCATTCAGCTCTCAACATGAAAGATAAAATACCCATGGCAATTTAATCAGCTTTCAACTATGCCTGAAAATGGGATGTCTGGGTATGACTCAATCGTTTGCTTTGTTTGGATTCAACTGCTATATAAATAAATGGTAGAGACCAATCAACTTCAGCAATAATAGGATCAGAGCCATTTTTAGGTGAAAGCAAAGCATACGTTTGTGTTGTCAATCATATACGAGACACAGAGTCCACAACGTTCATCCAGTTTATAGCACTACTGAGGCACAAGTATCTTCCTTTCTTTTATTCAATTGTAAATCCTTCTGAACCATTTACTGCATGCTGGAGAAACACAGCTCTCTCTCCACAGGAAGATGCATCTAGTGTCAAATTTATCTTTTGTTTGGGACAGGGTTTAAAATCCAAGTTTGACCCTTATGCCAGTGACAATCTCAATCTGCTACAAGAACTAAATGACCTTAATGGGGCTGCTTTCCTTAGGACTTCTCAAATATTTTGTATTAAGGAGGAAGAATAAGGATTGTGTGTGGTTGGGAAAGGAATTCTGCCAGTTTCAGTTCACCACTGCAAAACTGCTGGGGCGGGAGATGGCCCACGCTTCAGATGCAAGAACTGATTCTGCTTCCTGGATTTGCTGGTCTTCATCAGGCCCTGCCCGGATTTGGGATATTACAGTTCCTGCAAATGGCAGCTTTTGTTTCAAAATGGCCTAATATTTATTCATTCCTATCCACCTGCAGGCATGTTTCATAATAGAGATTTGATTTTTAAGAGGGGATGAATACAGGGACCACCAGCCCCAGATGTGTTGTTGCCAACATTTTAGCCATTTTTCTTTTTAGCTAGAGCCACATGTGTCATCCTCTGAAAAAAATCACAGTGTCTTTCCACACCAGAGGTACCTGCTTATACACTCCCATGCTTCAGTCCTCACATCTTCCAGGCAGTCCCGCTTTCCTCCTCAGCCTGTTCCCTCTCCCATGCTTCCCTCTCCTTAGAACTTCTCGGCAATTCAATTAATAGGATATAGCCTCAGCCTGCAGCCTATCCTGGCAATAATAGCAACAGTTGCTCCTTCTGGTTGGAAGGAAAAAGGGCAGGGAAAGGGGCAGGGTATAAGAGAAACGTTGCTTTGGAAATCTTTCAGTTTTATCAGTCAGTTAAACTTCTGATTTTTTTTTTGTCACAAGGGAAAGGCCTAGACACACTCAGTCATAAACAAGGTAGGCTAAGTTTATCCTGACAGGGACCAGAGCAGCTGTGTTAACAAGGGGAACAGCATGTCTGAGTAAGCCTGAAATATTAGGTGTGTATTGATAAAGACACTATTTGCAATCAGACTCAACAGTTTAGCAGTCAAACTCCATTGCATAAAGGAAATTTAGAATATTGGGGGGGGGGGGGGGGATACATTTACCTTGGGATCCACATTTATTATTTTCCTATCACTTTTGTTCTTGAAGAGTAGTCCACAGGCATTTTCTGCAATCACTTGGTAATTTGGGCTGGAATTTGAAGTGCTGACATTTCTATCCCAGTTGTAAAAGCTGTGAAAATATGAAACAGAAATGCCGTACTTTTAATGGATGTCATTCTTCCAGCTTAAAGGGCAGATTCTGACCTCCTTATTCATGCTGAGTAGTTCCTGATTCCACAACAGCCACTCCGAAAGCCAGACAGATTCACTGAGGAGCAGAAGTCTACTAAATATTAGAAAACCTGTCCAAATGTGGTCCTACATATCTGATCTCTGGCAAACCAAAACTGAGGCCCCTAGCTGCCTCCTCATCCATTCAGTGCTAGTGTTACTAAAAGACTCAGAGCCCGGGTTATAACTAGCGGGAAGTGGTAGTGCTTGAGTACTACTACTGTAACGGAAACAGCTCTGGAGACCACCTGAAAGTGCTTCCCAGACCACCACAGATCTGCAAACCAGATGTGGGAACCGGCAGTTTCCCCTTAGGATCTCAGTGGAACTCTCTTGCTGCCTTACTGTTTTCCTTTCTCTTGTTTTTAATATAATTCTGGTAGTAAGGAGTTTTTGGAAGTCTCCTCGTGGGCCAGATACAGCGGGAGGGGCTGAACTCCACTCCAGCTCCCCAAGGAAAATCCCAGCTCCCCGGAGAGCTGTAGGTGTCAGCCTGGGATTAATTCTGGAGCAAACCGTTCGATCAGGCTGACTGTGCTCGGTGGTTTCCAAAATGTCCGGTGCTAAACAAAAGTCAAAAGGAATCAGCCTGCTATGTCAAATACAAAATGGGCACAGGACTGTTTCAGCAGTTTATCAGTCTTTCTCCCAGGTCAGAGGTGCTGGAATTCCCCGAGCCTTCTCACACTTCTGTTTTTTTGACTTCTCAAACTTTTTATCACCTCACCTCAGCCCTTTTGGGCTTGGTACTTGCCACACAGCCAACTAACAGGCTGTCATTTGCACACTCATCGTTAGTATTTGTTTAGAAACCTTTCCAGCTCAGATATACCTACAAATTGCACAACGCAATGGCACTGCTACACGTACCTCGCTGGGATACTCATTTGATCACTGAAGTGGCACACTGCATTTCTGCTGCTGATCAGATGAACGTATCTTTTGCAAAAGACGGAGGAGATGGGAGGAAGTCAGGAAATCATTCTGTGTGTGAGGAGGATTCAAGAAATTTAGAAAATACCTTTTAGTTTTCCTGCCTTCTGCAAGGATTCCAACTTCTCCATTCCAACTAGATAGATGGTTCTGGTTTTTAAAGCGCCTTGATTTCTTCCTCGTTTTGAAAGAGTGCAAAACAATAGGCCTCACTGTTACGTATACTAAACCTTTTTACATCCTGAACACCTCTGGTAGGAATGGAGCAACGTATAATGACTCGGAGATGAATTTACAACACCCTTAACAGATTTCATCCTGGCACCGCTGAAGTCAGTGGGTGATTTGCCACTGAAGTCGATAGCCTTGGATTACAGCCAGATAATATAAAACAGTGTGCTCAGCACAAAGTTCTGTCCTTGAGCAAGCGAGTTAGCGCAAGTAGAAGCTGCCCTCTGGAACTCTGTGCAGTCTAATGCTTAGGTGCCTGCAGAAAATGAGTGAAAGGTGCGTGGACACAATTCATTCAGCTTAGCAGTAATAACTGCTTTGATATGCTAATTGGTCACATTAATTTGTCATCTATAGAATTATTTAATGCTCCTGAGTACCCATGTTAAGTGGTAAACAGAAGATTTTTTCATTCACTGTTTAAATCTAAGAATATGCACAAACTTATATACAAATTAAATACACAGATTCTTTTAACTCTCTACTCAGTTACCTTATTTCATCCATACAGCTTTTCCCTGTCCCCCAGGACACAACTTGGTTAATGAGTCCGACTGCACAAATAGAGATTGTTTCTGCTGGAAAACCACTACTAGATTAGGAAGGAATTGCTCTACATAATTCGGGGGTGGGGGTGGGGTGGGGGGTGGATATATATGTCTCTCTGCAAAGACTTCCCCATATTCATTAAAAAGAAATTAAACATCTGAAGGCGGAAATAGTCAATTAGCTGCCAGATAATAACTTCCTGCATTTTGCCAAGTTTCCAACCCTACTCCTACCATAGTTCCCCATTTAAGCCAGCGAATACAAGATCAGAGCTCAGACAGCCTTTCTGCTGAGAAGTCAGTGTCTAGTGCAAACAGTTTTCTTATGGACTCTTTCACTCCATGAGAACTTAGTTTCCGTCGTGTGCTTAGACGTGAGACGTAAACCCCAAGTCCACCGGCAAAATGAAGTGAATCTCTCTGAACCCTGTACTGGGGGCTGAGAATGGGGCAGTGCCCCGTGCAACTCTCTGGATGCCTTTCCCACATATAAGCCCCGAGCTTCTTGGCATTCCCATGTCCTCTCAAACAAAGACCAGCAGACAGCGAGACAGCAGCTGCTTTGAGGAAGCCTAGATGTCTGGCCACGGAAGGAAATTTCCCCTGCATACCGTTATTCATGTTCTTCACTGAAAACTGATGACATCAAGAGATTTAGTAAGACTCATACCCACCTTCAGCAGGTAGGATGAGAAGGGCTACTGCAGCTAGAGGACAACGTTAATGGGAGAACAAAGTAATATATGCTAGCAGGAAATACTCCTAATACTGCCTAAATAGGCAGGAGGTCAGAAGAACTTTTTGACCAGAGGAGCAAGGGGGGTTGGAGAAGGCTCCTCTGGAGCAGCCTCTCCCCTGCCAGTTACTGTTACAAGGTGAAACTTGCTCACTGTAATCAATGCATTCTACCACGAGGCTGCTTCAAGAAGAGGGGGCTGGAAATCAGGACCTAGGGAATCCCATCTTATCTGTGTTTCTTTTTCTCTAGAATTAATACTAAACTAAACTTCAGCAGTAAGTGCTATTTAGGAGTCGCTATAATCCCAATTGAATCAAAATAATTTTTGTTAGCAGAATTCCATGTGGCTTTAAATATTTAAATTATCCTGAGGTTAAAACATGCTATCAGATGAACATGATCAAATGCCAAAGAAAAAAAATTCAGTGTACATTTTTTCTATTATTATTTTGTTTGATTACTATGTGTTTTAGAACAAATGTAACAGTTTTCAGCACGGCACTCAAGTACGTGGAATATAAGAGACTTAGCAGAGCCCATAGTCCAACTGCAAGAAGGTTTTTTTGTTGTTGTTGTTAATTTTTTTTTTTTTTTTTAAGACAATGACTTGTTGGTGCAGTGGTATATAACAAGTAGCACACTGTGTTCGGGAATACAGACTAAAATATGCGAAGCAGGTTTTTTTTAATTCATCAGCTAATTCTGGTCTGAGCAGATTTTCATTCTTCAGGCAGGCAGATGCCTTCCCAGAACACAGGAGTCTGAATACAGGTTTTTGTATCCTTAAAAGTTATCCTTCGGGTACCAAGATGGCAGCACATCAAACCACATGGTGCTTATAGAATGTCTTTCATCCAAAAATCTCTGGGTCCTTTTGTAAACATGCATTAAACCACTTGACATTCTTGTGAGATGTACGGCAGGCTTTATTACAGCTCATCAGTGGCTGGGGGAGCCAGGGCACAAAAAATCTTGGCCGTTTTTCCCTAGGATATGTGGGCCGATGGCAGAGCAGCAAAGAGCCCCACTTGCCAGCTCCAGCCAGGAGATGGGGTGCTTTGACTGGAGTCCTGTGGCTGCTCACATTCAGGGAGATGGACAACCGTTTTCCTAGAGGCAAATCCTTGGCAAGGTTACAAACTGGATTTTGATGCCTCAGTGTGTGTGATTGTCCCCCTTTTTCTCTTATTCCATAGTGGGAAATGAGCTGTAACGGAAGAACTTCTTACACAGCTTATTCCGGGGGTTGAACTGCCATGGCGCATCAGGCCCGGACAGACCGGAGAGCGCTTCAGACACTGAACAAACTGAGGGTCGCCAATCACCATCTGACCAAAAGAAAAGAAGGTGTGCATCTGCAGGGTAAGAGCTTTGTTGTCCCAACTTACTATGTACTATTTAAATCAGCAAAATCAGGGAGACAGAACATAGCGTAAAGGTGTTTATGTCTGTGTTGGCCCCACCTTTGATCCCATGGGGTTAGATTATATTACCCTAATCTTTCTTCCCCTCAGGATAAGGATTGGTTCCTTGATTCAGTTCTCGACTTTTCTCTTCCCACCCACACATACACAAAGATAAAACCATTCCCTATAGCAGACTGGGACTTCAGTCAAAAACTAATTATAAACAGTGATGGCTCAACAGCTTTTTTCAGTTTGTGGTTCTATGAATTTGCGATGCAAACTATCTGGCTTCAGACCCCCTCCTGGTAATTTACAGACCAGCTTGCTTTAGTCGGGCAGCAGCAGAAGGGTGCAGACAAGGGAGATAGGGGGATGCAGGACAATAAAGGAGACTAGAACCGGGAATAAAAAGAAGCAGCAGCTCCTTTATCCTGGCGTTCTGTTTGTTTCTGCCCTCTGGTAGGAGTGCACTGTTAATCATTCTAATGGGAGGAAACTGGCATTCTGCATGCGCTTGCCAAATATGACAAAGTAGCAACATACTTGGATGGGATTTGGCCTGTCAGTCCTTCCACAGCTTTCTGGTGCAAACGAGGTCAGCGCCTCGGTGGGACATGACACGATGTAATACAGCACATATGCCTGACTCCACGCCAACTGCTGTTTCGTAATAAGATGCATGTCACAGACCTCTGGTTAAACAAGAACAAGCTACTGTTTCCACCTAAGAAATTTAAAGATGCGGAGTTTTGCTTTTCTTTTTCATCTTGAAGCGGCTTTGACTGAAATAACTATATTTATCAAATGATTGCCAGGGTAGGGTGAGATATGTTAAGAGTATTTCGGAAAACCAAGGCAGTTTGATTTGTCCATAGCTACTGTGCACAGTAGCTATTTCGGCAATTTTTTTCCTGCTTCCCTGTGCTATATTGTCACTACTGAATTAAAACCCTGTAGCATTTAGCTAAACTCACACGGCTGATTATTTTGCAGACTGGTTGTAAATCAGGAGTAACTCCAATGAACTCTTGTATAAAATTGG